ATTTCGGGGTGTAGTTCATCCGGTCCTGTTGAGTGTTTCCTATCTAAGGTGCTAAGAGCCTTAAGCACATCGTCTTAAACAAAGTCCAGGGTGAGCAGACGGTTTGTTGAGTTTGTATTTGAGCCTATTTCTTCGTCTGAAAGAGGCTCATGAGTGAAAACTGCTCCAAAATAGTTTGCCATAGCGTTCGCTTTGTCCTGATCATCCGCTATCATCTGAGATTTCCTTTCATCCGTAATGCTGTTGGGAATCCATTGCTGCATTCTTGTTGTATAATTTATGTATGAGAATAGTCTCTTAGGTTGTTTGAGTACATATTGAGCCAACCGCTTTTCATATTTTTTCTAAGCTCTTCGGAATGTGCTTATTTCGTACCGATCAGTAGGATTCCATCTTATTTGTGGTGCAAAGGCTGATGGTGTTCCGACATTTCTTCTTTCGTCTTAGTAAACATCGGATATCGCCGTCTTTCGAAGGTTGGCCGTGCTTCTTCCTTGGTACTGTCCAGGGTATGAATGGTTGTGTAACGTGATTGTGTAACTGTCGAAAATAGATTCATCGTCCAGTTTTCGACCAAGGCTGCAGAGCTAACCACCTTTAGTTCTGCCTTTGATATGTTAGGATAAGCAGGAGCAACAGTTTAACAGGCCAACTCAGCCATAAACGTGAATAGGATGACCACATGATCACATCTCCCTAAAGGTGGAAATAAGGTTATTTGACTGATATCACAGTGTGTGAGAACTAGGTCCACGAGACGAAGAGCGTTGTAGGTCAGATCTGGTAGGATCTTCAATTTACTGGAATAAATCTAAGAAGAGTGTGGTTTCCAATTATTTGGGATCAAATGTTGTTGATGACCCTATTGCTACGTTATCCCACCTTACACAAAGTGTATTTGAGTCACGTACTATGAGGCTTTTACTCTTGTGTTATCGAGTCATCCACTAATTATTCCGGAATATGGTATACAACTAATTCAATATCTTGCTGTTTGCATTTTAGAGTAGTTTGTAAAAACCCTTTGCTGCAAGTTTTTTTCACCATTCTGACGGCGCTCATTTACTTCTACTTCTGGCAATCGTCTATTCATATGATCGAACAGGCAAAGATCTTTACGGAAATTTATCCCGAAACGAATCGATTTGCGTGAATTTTTTTACCAGTTTGTTTCCGTCTTCAGCAAAAGCAAATGTAACTTTTCAGAGGCGGCTTTTCTGCGTACTTTCAGAATACACTTTTTGCCCTAATCTGTAGTGACTACAGATGACAACCCCTGCTGATGTTTTTGGAAGTAGCCTCCTTATTAAGGACTTAATGTGGCTGAGGACGAGTCCGAATCCTGCCCTTGGTTCCTTTCCGGAAGACTCGCCTAATTTTGGAAGAATGACTGATCTGTCAGCGAGGTTCGTTTTAAGAAGTTGTGAAGTTTGTTTCCTGAAATCTTCGAAGCCCTGAAGTTCTCAGGCTTAGGTTTTAGTCCGTTTCCTTTCTTTTCTGGGTGTGACTGTCAGCCAACCTATGATCTTATTATGTCTCTTGTTTACGTCATCCACACCGCCAAGGCTTTGCTCCTCCGTATTCTGTTATGCACTGATGTGTGAATCCTGAGCTGAAACTGTCGAATTTTTCGATAATTTATTTCTTCTGAGCGTGCTTTTTCTTTCTCTCGCGACGATGCTTACATTTAAATGTTTGTTGTATGCTAAGTTATCGGGGCCCACCTTGATTGTCTCACTCAAATACAAATCTGAAACACCGATAACGCCCGCTGTTTCCTCGAGAATTGAAAGTCACACATCTGCTGCTAGCTTTATATCTGAGGGCTTATTTTAGTTATGTTCAGCAGCACAGTGGCCTCGAGACTCAGCAACGACTTTGCAGAACAGAATGCTCCACACAACCAACGTGCTAGTGACTTACAGCATCTTTTACACGCAGCCAGTGTGAGTCCGTTGTACACGTTGTGATAACACTTGTAGGAGTTGTTACGTTGTATTCCATTGCCGACTGAAAAAAGCATGTAAGTTTACACAACAACATTGACCTGCGCCACTAAAATTGTTAGTGATCTCACAGAGAGAACAAAATCAAGAAGACGTCTTAAAGCTCAAATAAAATAAACTAACGGAGAAGTGATCTCCAGAATAAGTGTTTTTGAAACACTCTAAAGGTGATAGAAACTGAGCACAAAGAGCCGAGATTTATATGTTACTGGAAGCGGAAAATATGGCTTTAATAAATACAAAAAACCTTTTCAATTTTAGACACAACAGATGGGAAGAGATTTGTTTCACGCGCGTATGTATTTTGAATTATATGTTTAGAAAATTCATATTGTAACGATACGAGGTTTTGGAAATTAAGTTGAATTGTGTCACACGCAGAAAGTACTGAGATGATTGGTAGTTAGCAACGGCATAAATTTTTTCGACTATACCTCAAGCGAGGCTTTTGAATTTGAACGTTACTTTAATGTAATAGTGACACTGTGATTTTCTGCTAAAGTGGTTATTTTTAGCACAAATTTTGCGGTCAATTAACTTTAATCAATTCTAAATATTTGTAGTTTGTTCGATTCCGATAAAACTATGTATGAGCAGCAGAAAGGAGCTCAAAGTTATCTCGTTTGCGTGTGTTCGTTCCTTGTTGTCATTAAGGTCTTGTTCCTTTGGTTCTTTTCTAAATTTATGTCTCTGGAGCTTGTTGGATTATCAAATTGTTCGTCGATGGTCAATTCAGTTTTTTTTGAGGAAATATTTCTCATGAATTGATTCATGGATTGTTTCGGCGAGTCCGCCGAATTATTGTCTAGACTATAATTTGTGTACGGATCAATGAATTTAAGGGCTGCAATTCTTGGATTTCGGTGAGAACTTTGTCCTTAATTATGGTTGAAAAACATTTTGGTATTACAGCTGTTGTCAGTTTGTGATGAAAACCTGAGTACTGCATACAAGCGGCTAGCCCCTGCTTTAAAAAGACAGAGAGCTTCTGGAAAAGGTTCAGAGAATGGCGACTAAGCTGGTTCCCGCAATAGCGAAGCTTCCGTATGAATCTCGACTGGCCAAGCTGAACCTTTTCCCGTTGTCATATCGCAGAACTAGAGGCGACTTGATTACAGTCTACAAATTGCTTAGTGATAAATTTGCACCTAACATGCCCTCATTTTTCTTGTCTTCCAAAACAGAGAATTTACGAGGACACTCCAAAAAAGTTCATAAGCCGAGAACAAATTACTTGTCAGCTGACTATCGACTTTCCCATCGAATCATCAACGAGTGGAATTCACTACCTCAGCACGTGGTTGAGGCTCCATCCGTCGACTCTTTCAAAAGAAAGTTGGATCAACTGAGAGACCACCATTGCCAGGACTAACATAGGCCATAGAGCCTCCTGTCCTTCCCAAACTGAAACTGAAACTTAGATTCCTAATCCTATATCCTTACTTTTAAACCAGATATTTCTCTGAATAGTCACTCTTATTGTTTTTCATTTAACCTAATTTGCACTTCCTTTTTGTTCGAGGGATGGAAGTAATGGTAGTGTGGCTCTGTTACCTGGAGAGAAACTTTTCGACCCTGATTATGCGGGTGATATTGTCTTACTGTAATGATACTTAAGCCATGTAATCCTTACTTAACCAGTTGCTAATTATCGTCCGTACGTATGATATGTGCTTTACATCTAGACATAAGGTGGTTATGCAAGACCGGATGAAGCCTGTGCTTGCACTCACTCTTGGTAGTGAGTCTTTAGAAGTGATTGAGTTCGTGTATATGGGTAACCATGTTAGTGTTTGTGGAGGCGTAATTGATATGACCGATCTAAATATAGGTGAAGCTGGAGTGTCTTATATCGAATTGATCATCTATGGCGCTGTCGAGATGTTAGTCTTACTGTTATGGTCTTTACAAAGCGATAATGAAATTTTCGTACTATGCTTGTAAAACGTAGCTTCTCCGATTTTAATATGTTAAGTGACTGCGTTCAGTCACTGTTGTCGTCAAGGGATTGTGAATACTTAGTATCAACATCTTGTTAGTACTTCTGAGGTTTGGAAACGTATTTTCATATATTGACGACAATTCAGTTGGTGTCACCATTTCAAAACACCGGCTTCAGTTGCTCGAAGATGTGCTGCGAACGTCGTCTCAGCGAATAGCATCTTGTGCATTATTTGCCGACGGTGGGACTTAGGGAAAAGCGAAGAGGTGATCAGTTTGTGACGTAGTGCCTGGTTATGGAAGAAAACTGTACTGGCATGCCTGTCCTTCACAACTCTCTGGTCCCGGTCGCAGGGATGGTGCAACACAGTAACTGGAAACTATCAGATACGACCCAGAACAAAAGCCAGTGGTGGTACTGCTGTAGCTTTCCTTTATTTTATCCATAGAAATGAAAGAAATTTCTTAAATTAAAAGAGTTCTTCCTGGCCGTATTTCTCTCAATCGGAAACCCAATATATTTTTATTTCCAATTTATCTTTGTTCATTGGTTTCGGCACACTACTCATCTTTAATCTCTTCGCAGTCTCATTTTCTTATTATGTGGCGAATACTTGTTCGGGTTCCTCTTTATACCAATATTTGCGCTTAAGCAAATAATAGTGATAATTGATATTAAATAGATAGGTAATGAACACACTGTACATTGTTTGTCGTGCTAATTTACTTTTTTAATATCTCGTACTATCATACAATGATGTATTTGGGATGTACATACATCCAAAGAATATGACACAATCTCTCCGGCTGAAAATCTTAACGTATTGTTCTCTTTAAAAAAATAAAAAATTCCGTTATTGAACTTAAAGAAACTTGGAATAAAAGCAATTTAATTTGATTTGAGGATTAGAGTATGGAAGTTTGTACCAAGTATTGTCTCGTGTTTTAATACCTCATCGCTATTAAGAGTGGATCTTATCGTGAATAAGTTTCTTTAATATAAACTTTCATATAATTCATTTACGGACTAAAATGCAAATTATTTGTTTCAGAGTTCTTCAATGTTACGAATTTTCACTAACCTTCAAATACCTTGTTGCTGCTATAATCACACACTTACCCACTTACTATCGATTTTTATCAATTTTCGCCGTTTAAAATTAGTATCTAACTATTTCTATTCTTAGGAGTATCCCTGAATCCCAAGCCAAGCACCTTATTACGCTATACTTTAACCAGCTTATCCATGGTTGTCGTAATGTAGATTGTCAAAATAGAAACTGTGCATCTTCAGTCAATTTTGCGCATTCGGGTATTACACCAAATCAAGCGGCTGCTCTAGCAATCGAATTAACGGTCAATCGTGCTGATCTCTGTTTATCTACTAATGCAATCTTATCATCTGGAATGAGCAATCCATCAACCTCACGTTCTTTGGAACCTGAAATTAATAGTGATGACAAAGGTGGTGAAACGTCGAACAGAATCAACGAAGTAATATATTCTTTGCCTAGTTTCTCTTTCTTTAGGTGTCTAGTTACCATCCTCAAGAGCCTTCAAGTCTTCAAACGACTACTATTCCTTCATCACAACAGCTTGTTGCTAATTCGGATACAATAACATCAGGTCCTGATGAAGATTCATTTCATTCTCTGATGACACCCGCTGAAGTTACTCGGTTAATCATGTTTCTGTTTGATGCTTCGGAAAATGACGAAATCAGTTCTTCTCAGCTAAGCGAGCCAACTTCTGGAATTATTGCAGAGGACTACTCGGCGGACCATGATAACTCTCTGACTTCCGCTTTCCGTAGTCGCAATCCTCTGTTTGGTATGTTTTTGGAACTTTCCAGCTTTTGGTCTTGTATTTGTTATTCTCTTGTATTGCATTCTTGAGATTCGTAAAATCCGGTAATTAAGCGTCTTTTTTGGGAGGTCATCATTTTTTAGCCAATTTAATTGACGATGTCTTGTATTTGTGTTACAGGAACATCTAGGCCATCTAGTTCGAGCTCTGATACTTTGAAAACCCTCAAAGGACCAACAAGCCAAAATAACCATACAACACCATCACTGAATACATCTGTCGAACGTGAATCCCGTAAAACTGGTTTGTCGTTAACCGAATTACAGAAAGCTATTGAAATGGGGAGGAAAAATGGAGAGTGGTCCTGTCTTATAAGTTTATTAAATTCAGTTTTCAGTTCGTATGATGCATTATCAAGTAGCTTCTTACATGAATTATGTGGGGTTGGATCAGGAAAGCAATCCAAAAAGGATAAAAAAACTACAGACGTCTCGGACTCATCACTGTGTTGCACCAGTGCCAAAACACTAAAAGATTACAATGAAGTTATTCCGCCAACTGTAAATAATTCTGATGGCTCGGTTGACAACATAATAGAATCTTCTTGGGTCGAAGGTATGACTAGTATCTCAACAGATTTTCCTGTTTATCAAAATGGTAAGTAATGTTTTTATTATCAAATTCCCACTCACCTACATAAAGTATCTTTAAAATAGGTAGTATACTTGTAATGTTATCATGTCTTGCAAATTATAACTAAAAAATTATTTTGTTTATATTTTATGCAAACACCAGTGAGTTGACTCAAGTATATAAATGCAACTTAAATGATTATTAGATCTTAAAAGTTTTATGGTTCAAGTACATTTGTTGTGAAAGAGGATTTTCGGATTTATGCTCAAAAAATTAAATTTTTGACGTGAGTCTATGATAATTAGAAGTATCCGAATTATTGTATTAACTAGGAATTCCCCAAACAGTGCAATTTAAACCAAATAGAACTAGATGAGCAAGAACGTATTGTATTTAGAAATCGAAATCAACCAGTACCAAACAATCATTAGTTCATACAAATACCATGGAGTCCCACAAAAAAGGATATTAAAATTCAATATGAGGCTAAAAACTGCATTGACAAAAACATATCCTGCAGCTAAATTGATTGCCCTGTTCAAAAGGACATGTTCTTTGACACAACCAAAGGTCGAAAGGTATCTCTTTCATGTTACCACCAACTGTATATACAAATTAACATGTATCTGCCAAAGCAGTTACATTGGTAGAACAGAAAGGAGAGCCTACGTCCGATTCAAAGAACATATTCCGAAGGGTTTGAAATCAAACGGACTAAAAGCATTTAGCAGCGCTGTCGCAAGACGACACGAAGTCGATATACTAAAGTCCTTCAAGGTGATCAGCAAACAATCAAATTCAAACCTTTTGAAATTTGCCGAAGCACTAGCAATCAAACGTTTAAAACCAGATCTATGTATACAAAAAGAGACAGTAATAAATTTTTTTTGTCCTGGTAATATTACCCCCTTTTTTATATTTATTTATTACGTCATTCCAACTCTCTGAATTTTATGATTACATCATTCATAACTGACCAATTTCAATTCATATCCCTCTTTATCAACATTAATCTACTTTCAGTTATTTCATTACATAATAATAATATTATGTGTTTTAATTCCATGATTTCTAATCACTAATTCAATTTTCTGGAACCTTCCCTTCCAAACTCTATATATTTGAAACAAAAATTTTATGACTTCATTAACTCTAACGAAATCTTTGCTACATCATGTTACATATATTCATCTTTCATCACCCTCTGATGTATAAGTATGTCAATATCTATAATAACGTTGAATTTCAAATATTTTAGGTTGTAAGCAGCTGATGAGAACCTAACGAAATAAAATGAATTCATATTATTCTGCACCAATCTTTGTTCTTACTCTCTTTAAAATATCAAAAATAGCACAACTGGTTAGCGGTCTTTTCGTAGTACATTTGTTTACAAAATATTGAACACAAAATAAACAGTCGAAAGTTAATTGTAACATAGCCGACTGGAAGTTACGGGTTTTGTAGGTAGATCACTGACGATCCGATGAAATAAAAATCCAACTCAGGTTTTACTCTTTCCTTTTGTATCGGAACTCTCGTCCAGTAATTTAAGGGCTCGTCCTTCGACTATTGAGCCATAGGTCTCAAACCTACTTTTAATAAGGTTTGGGGAATTTCATTTCGACTTTTATAGTTGTTGAGTTCGTTTAGCTCAAAGTCTAGTGTACAAACTTCTAATTGGTTACATGTTTGTTGAGTGCGATCCATTAACAATAAGAAGTTTCGCTATGCAAGCCATTAATCATACATAGTTTATAAAACAGACGAAACTGGTTTTTATCACATATTACAGTCTTTAATCTTCCTTAAGTTTGTTAATCTCTTGACTATCAATATTCTGTTTTAGGATTATTTCTGAATTACTAAACGTTTCTGAACGATGGTTTTACTGCTAGAGTTATTGACAGCTTCTTTAGCAATAGTTTCCAAATGTTAAACTTGTTCTGGCTCTAGTTTGTTAGACGTGTTTGTGTGTGACCATAAATTAAGTGCTTATGACATTTATTTAACTTAGATGACTAGAGCAATCAGTAGAAATCTTCCTCAAGTTCTCCAATCAGTTTTGGTAATAACTTATTTACCACGGCTCATCTTAATTCCGAAGAAATATTTTCATTCACATTTCAGTTTTGCTTATAGTTGGTAAAGGTAGATTGCAAACACGAGAGAATCAAGCTGGCTTCAGACCTGATCGTGGCTGTATCGACCACATATTCACCATTCGTCAGGTTCTAGAACACAGGCATACTTATCGGCGTCCGACAATGGTGGTCTTTCTTGAATTATAAGCAGCATTTGACTCGAAAGACCGCGAGATTCTGTGGCAGTGTCTATCATTGAAAGGCGTACCTCAGAAGTACATAAACCTTGTGAAGGCTCTTTACTCGGACACTACTAGTCGAGTCAGAGCTTATGGCGAACTGCCATTTGCTTTTGCAACCTCAAGTGGTGTCCGTCGAGGCTGTCCACTTTCTCCATTTTTGTCTAAGTTCATCAAAGAAATACTAATGGAAATAACATTCTCATCGACTTTTTTTTTCAGAAATTGACCTCCCTCCAGCAGTACCACTTATCGAATTAGGATACATAGATGACGCTGATAAAATGCAGAGTCTTTTGGTAGCACTAGGCAACAATGCCAGAATGTTTGGAGTGCGCTTCTCTCCCTCTAAATGCAAGTTGTTGCTTCAGGAGTGGTCTTCGTCAACACCTGAACTAAGGATAGGGAGTAAAATTGGTCGAACGCGTTGACAACTTCACTTATCTTGGAAGTCTGATCAACCCTAATGGGTTGGTTTCGAACGAAATCTCAGCACGGATTCGAAAGCTCGCTTGGCTTTTGCCAATTTACATCACCTATGGCGAAGGCGAGATATCCGTCTATCAATAAAAGGACGAGTATACTGCGCGGCAGTCCGTTCTGTTTTAATTTACCGCAGCGAAACATGGCCACTAAGAATAGAAGATACTCGTAAGCTATTAGAATTTGACCACAGATGCCCTAGAAATATTGCTGGCATCTGATGGGATCACCAGATAAGTAATAGTGAGGTTAGTGAATGGTGGTAAATCAGTTGATGAGGTTGTGAATCTTCATCGACTGAGATGTTTGGGTCACGTGTTACGTATACCTGAACACCGATTACCACGACGTGCAATGCTAACCGGTGTTAGGGATAGTTGGAAGAAAGTTAGGGGCGGCCTTACCAAAACGTGGCATCAGTGCTTGAAAATACTAACTTCTAGTCTGAGTCATGTTGGGAGATGCAGACTACTTGGTTGGGGTCCGCGTGACTATCGTAACCAATGGTTGGATACTCTTTGTGACATGGCTCAAAATCGATCACAGTGGAGTAGGTGTATGCGCTCTCTGTCTTCGCCTAAACTGAGATTAAAATCACTTCATATCTTTCTTTCTACGAACTAATTTTTTCTTCCTGTACTATATCCTTATATGCATTCTTTCTTTTATATATTACCACCACTGACTTAACCACTCCTATGAATCCGTTGTTCATTTTGTTGTTTTAATGAGGTGTGTCAACTTGGACCAATGCATATATGTGCCTGGTCCTACATTGTAGCTGACTGAAAGGTAGATAAATCAGTTTTCAGGCGCATTAGACAGTTTCGGTTTATTCTTATTGGTAGAGATTTCTATTTTGCTAATACTTCTTGCTCGGCATTATGAAACCTAGTGGTCACTGTATGCAGCTAGGACAGAGATGTGTGCATGTTATTTATCAGGGGCGGTTCAACCTCATTTTAGGTATATTCTACGAACTTGGTACGGCAGTTGAGTCTATAAAAAACTAAAACGTTTTGGAATGGACTGTACTACTAGTTCTAAATAAAATACAGGTTGCTATCACTTTGCTCTGATTTTATAAAATACATGAGGATTTTTTCATGATAAGTTGGTTGATTTAGTCATTCAGTCACCGGATTATAATCAATCTTCACAAAAGTCGAAATATTTCTCCACCATTCTGCAAAATGTGTATTTATTTTTTCGGGTTATAAGTGACTATATTGATTTTAATATATTGTCAATAAAAACTCGAAATTCTAGACTTTTTCCTGATGTCTATATGGCTTTTGCATTTTTCCTCTGGTTGATCTCAATTGGTGTAGTTGTTCTGACCTCTAAAAAATACGTCTGGAGTTAAGCTTGACTGTAGTTCTTCCTCACATTTTACATAATGTAGTTTACCAAGGGAATGGATGGTGTTGGTAGCTTGATAGTTATTTTGCACTGTCAATCAACTTTGAAATTCATTCTTAGTCGAGAATGACTTTCATTATGTTACGGACCTTTCAACTATGTATGTAAAAAGCACTTGAAATATCAGTGATATAAATCATTTCTGTATTGAACATTTTGGTAGGTATACTTCTAAGATGTTAAGTTACTTACGGGAACGTACTATGACTTCTGTAAACTGTTTGTAGCGTTTACTTCCATGCACCCGATGTTTCTGAAGTGTAGTTTTTAGTTGAAGGGAGTTAGGATATGTAAAGTAGAATCATGTATTCATCTGAAGTTAAACCATATCAGGATGTGTAAGAGGATTTAAAAAATTAATTAATTCATCCACCAGATACTTAGGTTTAAGCCATACACTAAGGGTAAGAGCTAAGAATGCTACCCGGTTAACCAAACCGAAGTAGGTGTGTACTGAATCTTGTTACAGGTAGATGTTTGATAAAATCGCGTGCTGAAAACACTTTTTGCTTTTCTCCCTTACAATCGAATTCTCAGCTAGTAAAATATTTTGGGTTTATAAAAGGTTTTACATGATGTGTATTTGTAAGTTGCTTATTGGAAACATGTGTCAAACTAATAATATTAGGTTACGCGTCCGAAATAATTATATAATGCTTGGTATACAATACTATCGAATGGACTATAGCCTAGTAGACAATTGTGTTAGTGGCTTTTGTATAACACTAGTTGCAAGGACCCTTGTAGATCAAACCAAATGGTTTTACTTGTCTTCATTGTTTTGGCTATCCACCTTGTCACCAGCTTTTCATGAAATGTTTGTACCCATATTCAGCATACTGAAACCTAAATGAACCAATGAAATATGCTAATGGTTTTATGATATTAACAGGCTTGATATTTTTATAGATAGGGTTACTATCTGATTCTGGTATGTTACAATTACGCTTTCTAGAAGTAACCGCTTATCTTTTAAGTCAGCTGTGTATTAAGGCATGCCTTTTCATAGATTGTTAGCATACAATCTGTTCATCACTTTTTACCATACATATGTACATTATTTCTTGATGAGCAGATAACTTAATCCTCAATCATAAAACCTAAAAATTCCATTCAATCAGATTCAGGGTTTATTAGTTGATTTGCATCCATCAGTTTAAGTTGTTTGACCTAAAAAAAAACCCAGTAAGGATTTTTAAAACTTAAAATACAGAGCTGAAGAAATAACTAAGTACATATTTATTGTATTATAAATTATTTGGTGCTGAATGTTCGAAAAACCTCAAATTACTCACATCTGAAAATGTGTGTTTGAGACTGAAGGTGCATATTATTTTAATGAATAAAAATAAATTAAAACCTAGATCAATTATATTTACTGAATTTTTATGCTTTATTTGCTTAATTATTGTGTAATATTCAAAATAATATCTATAGAGGTTATGAATATATATTCATCCATCAAAGAACTTTCACTAAATTTTACCATAACATATTTATAAATGTTTATTTTCAGATGTAGAAATGGATGATCAACAAGTGAACACTTTGAACTCCATTGAAATTATTGAAAAATCAGAAAACAATGTATATTGGCCATCTGTTAATCTTAATGATTTACGTAAAGCTTGGTCTATGATTGTATCTATACCTGAACGTCAAAATATTGTAGATACACTAATGAGAGCTGTTCGTCGTTTGGTTGTGATCAGTTTACATCAACTTTTAGTTATTCAACCACCTGATGGATTAGACGATAATCAACCAACTACTGAAATAGCTATTATTCAACAACGTTTAGTGAATCTTTTTATTATTCTTTATGAATGTCCATTTGCAACAGATCCTTTACATTTTGAGGTTGGTAAACTATTCTATAAAGTTGTTATAATACAGTTCCTCTTTTATTTTTTAACGTCGTCCATCATAAGGTATAGTTGTTTTAGGACATCATTCTATTTCTAAAGTCTCTTTTTTATTGTCGTAAAACCAGAAATTTTGCTATCTTAATGATTACTACTGAATTACTTATGGAATCATGATTGTGCTAACTTCACGTTACAAGTTATTCAATCGAAAAAATCAAGTACATTATATATATATATATATATATATATATATAGTAAACTTCGATGAGGAAAACTTCACATCAAATACATAATTTGCACATCTCCCTTCAGTGGTCTCTTACATGCTTCATGATTCCTTCAATTCCGTTGTCATTACAATTACTTTCTCTTTTCTTCAATTGAATCTTCCCAATCTTCTGTAGGCATGCATTCCACTCCTGATTGGTACTACATACTACTCATATCTGTCAACATAAGTAGCATACATCACATACATACTGGAATTGTTAAAAATTTCAGTTATATTGTTTGATCAATATGTTGGTAACATCTGGTTTCCATTAAGTTTTAAATTTTAATCCAATAACCTGAATGATAATATTGTAACGGTTTTAAGGAGTAAAGAACTTTTTGATAGTAACTAGTGTATTTAATCAAATCCAAGAGACTTATTCACGTGTTATAAGATCAGCTGATTATATTTTCGAGATTATGCCTGGATGATTTCGCAGATTAAAAACTTTATTTTTTTTTAGTGATAATCTTATTGGTTTTATTCTTGTTGGTGTTTTTTTCTTTTACAATAATTTATCTTTATCACTACATAAAATTCTCAACATCAATTTGAGCTTATTCTTTTTCTGATTGATTTATAGAAATATGGTTTTATGTTGTGTATTATTTATCGTCATCATAAACATTTTTTAATGACATTCATTTAATATCTAATTAAACAGTTCAAACCAGATTACTAACATCATTTTAACCAATTTATGTCTATTAATTTGAGTTCACCTAAGGTCATTTTAAAGTTGATCATGTTTTCAGATTTGTTGTCTATCCCTGATTTGTTGTTTCTGTAAGTCATGGTTTTATTGTCTTGACCAACCGAAATGGGAGGTACTTTTCAGTGGGTCTCTTATTGTTAATAGTAATGCAACTCAACGACTGTTTATAGGTTCGTATGTGCAGCAGACATGATGACGTCATGTATAGTTTTTCATGACAAATGTTTTCATTTAGCTGTTCGAATCTTGTGACCGACCAAATTGTTAAATATTCAGTGTCTCATTGAGTAACCCCAGCTATGGGAACTGTTTAAAGACAAAGATTACTGTTTCAACTAAGTTATCATAATATTCCATGTAAATTTTCCATTTTATTTTCCTTTCATAATTTGAATAAGAATTTGAAAATGGTCTTTTTAGACAATCACACACCTTCAATAACTGTCTGTACTCATTAGTTTCAAGCATTATTATTTAATACAGGTTTATAGTTTTCAATTTCTTTGTACTTCGTATTTATTTCATCTCCGTACCATTTTTACTCTACTGCACTTTCATTAATCCACCTTTATTTTCGTTATCATTCAAGGGTTTCATAATTGAATCATTCACCTGGAAAACACGTAACAGCACTAAAAGTATCACTACTGTCGTGTTTAGTATGAATGAACAAACATCACACACAGATAACAACAAAAGATCATTTATCATTAGTTGAATGTAGGTAGACATCGTTTTCAAGCTTTGGAATGCTACATCACAAAGCTTTTTAATACTTCATATTCCGTTAATCAGGAATTTCAATAACCGTTTACTTTTGGTTTTCGAAGCGAATCAATGTATTCAGTCGAATTACCGAATTTATTATTATTATTACTGAAATTTCCTGCTTTTTAGTTTATTCAGTTCCATTAAAAACCTGGTCTTCGCACTTCTATTCAAAATCATAAATACAAACTAACCAAGTAGTGTTAAAGGTGTAAAGTATTTTCTTGATAAAAAGATCATTATTATTTTTGTTATAAAATGATATATTTTCCTCTCATTCACCTTTTGAATAATGTGAACCAAACAAAACTGACAGAAGCATGTTATTAAACAGTATTGTTCATTATAAGGAAAAGAAGATTTTTGAATGTTGGTCAGTTTGTAATTGATATTGTAAACTAATTCCAACTGTAAAAACACTGAAAAAAACTAGAGAGCACTGGACAACTATTCATGATAGTGCAAGATACCTCAACGAGGCCTACCTACAACTTAATCTAGAGCCTCGTAGTGAACGCCTTCTCAAGTTAACAATCAACAGTGAAGCAGTTTACTATAAAGTTTTAGTCATATATTTATGTTAAGTTTTCTACTTTGGCACTCGAACTCGTAGAACCCACAGTCGCCATTCGAAAAGATAGAAAAGAACAGAAGCGTTTATGGAAGTGTTGAGAATGTACTGAAAATGGATGTATTTATACTTTTTGGCACTGGTTAGAGTATCATTATAAGACAGCCAATCCACATGTAGGAAGTTTATACTGATGTTCAATCATAACATGCCACTTTGATATTTCAGGAAGTTCTATCGGATTATGATTAGATGGAATCCTTTCTGCTCTTTTAGAGCCTCTGGAGGCCTCATCTCGGCTTCTGAGAGCCGACCCAATAATTAATGAAGTTTAACAGTGAAAAACCTTATTTTCTAATAAAATGTTTTAAGGTAAATATTTTAGTCAGTCATCATAAGTTAAGACAATCATGATTGCCGTTTCATTTTGCTCATTGCTGTTCAACTTCATTAATTACGTTTTATATGCTGAATATTTGATTTCATTTCTGTATCGTTTAACTGATGAACATTGTTTAATGAACTGTGAAATAAACTCCATAGTAACTGTACAAAGTTCATGGGTTTATTACCTTCTGATTCCAGAGTCTATTAGATGAAATGATATTAAGAATATTTATAAAGTATATAAGCGCGGAAAATCTATAGATTCCAATTTATTTAAAGTAAAAAGTTTGTTTATAAAAGGTAAATGAGAAAAGTGATATTTCTGGTCGGAAAGAAATTTTACTTACTAATTTTCTGTTAACATTCCAGACTTTTGACAATTAACCAACTAAATTGTTTTTCTTTTCTTGAGATTAAAAGAAAATAAGGTTACTTGATTTTTCTGTTGAATGATGTTTATTCTATCATAAAATCTTCCATGTCCTATTGTATACCATACGTAAGCCATGCCCATAAACATTTACTACCGTAGATAACCTTTTTTTTTTCTCAATACTTTTTATGTGAATACATATATGTCTATGGATTTTCCTAAAAAAAGATCGATTTTAGTATAAACAAAATTTTCTCCTATAGTGACAGCATTTTTTGTACATGTATCTTGTTGTATTCAATTTTCTACTTTTTTAGTCAATCGTTTTCTTTTCTGTGGTACTCCAGTTCTTGTTATCTTTGATGTAATGTGAAATTCAAAAGTTGTATTAGTTTTATTATAGTTGACTACTGAATGTCTTCTATGTGCACAGGTTAATAATAAGTCAATTTGATGTATATGGTAAAGAACATCTTATCATATATTTGAGCATACATTGGTCAATTGTTCGCTACATACAGTATACTTTTTGTTTATTTATTTCTGATAGCTTTATACATTGTTCTATCGCCTTTAGTAGATCTTATTAACGCAAAATCAAAACAGCACCAGACGATTTAAACAATCAGTTAGACTCCTAAACATTACACTCTTTTTAGTTAAACTAGACTGATAAAGTTTCGAGCAGCGGCAAATATGATGTCAATCTGTGAGAGTCATCAATCAAATTTCTTATAATTTGAATTATTTTAATTAAACTAACGACGAATCCATATTTCAGCAAGTGAAATAACTGTGTCATGTTGATCTGATGACAGATTGTTTTTGACATTAATATCAGTTGTTTGGAATTACTTATGTTTAGATGTACGGCACTTATAACATTTATATTTTGTTTGGATTCTTTTCTCGTCTTTGATTTGTTCATTTACGTTTCTATCATCTTCAATTATAGCTTTTATTGTTAAATATTAATCGTGCTGTAACTTGGCTTCCAAACACAATACAAGTTATGTTATGTCGAGCATGGGCTAATTCTGTACACACACCATTAGCTAATTGTACAGAACCACCAAATCCAGAACAAACTAATTTATGGTGTCTACAAAAAATTCTATTACATCATATTACTTTACGTTGTTTAACTACAGATCATGGTTTACCAAATGAAGATAAACAGATTTGTGAAGCCGCACTTGTATTACGTATTGTTTACTATGCTAGTCTATTGGCTGGTCAAATGGATTCACCTGAATTATTAGAAATGGAAGCTGAAGAGAATAGATTATTTGAACAACAAATGCGTGCTCATATTGGACCTGTAAGTCGTGGTTCAACCGTTACCGTTACTGTTGTTAAATGTAGTATTATTATATATATTTCTGAATTAGGAAAATGTGTTGTCTTATTTTAGCATTTGCATATACTCTGATTAATATATTGGCTGATCAACTGTAGAGTTATTGTTGGAGTATTAATTTTGTAAATGCTATCAACTGGACTAGAATGTAACTGTTCAGAGAACATATTTCTTCTCTTTTTTCACTTCATGTAAACGGTAACAATTTGGTGAATAAAGAAGTGTTAATTCACAGTGCATTTGTAAACTGCAGTATACTCATAAATGAGATCAATATCACCCTGCATAATAAATAAATTATATAACGGGGATAGGGTAAAACTTAGCACTTTCATCTATTTTTTTCAGATCCGTACTTTAAAACAGTTGTCAAAATTAATATAAGAATTATGGTGTAGTAGTAGGCTATCATTCATTTGTAGGAAAAAATATCCTGGAAGTGCTAATCCAGAAAATAACTGAAATCCATTCAGAACGGAACAAATAGTTATATCAAAATCACGGTCTAATTTATTTAAAATTGTACGTACAATACAAGACATGATTGTTCATCCACATTCACCATACTCTTGGTCGATTTTTCTTCCCAAACAAAATGTTTACATCTAAACTTGATATTGCTCTCCGGCCATTACCATCACATAGAAATACAGATGATGAGGTATATGTAGCCATCTTACTTGATCCCCTTTCAAAAACGTTGTTTATGGACACTTATGTACTTACCTACGCTTTTTTCCTCTCGTGGAGGAGCATAGGTTACCTACCAGCATTCTCCATTGAACTCTATCCTGGGCAATGCTTTTTAGTTGCTATTCATCCTTTTGGTGTCTGCTTCTAATTCCCGACGCAGTGTGTTCTTTGGTCTTCCTCATTTCCTTTTCCCTTCAGGACTCTAAGTTAGCGCTTGCTTTGTGAATCAGTTTCATAATTTCCACAATGTGTTTCCTATCCACTTCCAGCGTCTTTTCCGAATTTCCTCTTCATCTCGAAGCTGGTTTATTCTCTCCCACAGTAGGCTGTCACTGATGGCATTTGGCCAATGCACGTTGAGCATCTTGCTCAGACAATTGTTTATAAATACCTGTATTTTTTTATGATGGTTTTAGTAGTTCTCGAAGTTTCAGCTCCGTACAGTAGGGTTGTCTTGACGTTCATATTGAAGATTCTGACTTCAATAGTGGTTGACAGTTGTTCTGAGTTCCGTATGTTCTTCAAATTTAGGAATGCTGCCCTTACTTTGCCAATTCTTGCCTTTACGTCTGCATCGGATCCTCCCAGTTCAACAATTGCAAATGATTGGAGTTTAGTCGGTTGATTTTGTTTACTTAACAATTAGATTTTTTAAAACGTAAAAAAATCCAGAATAACCTTTTCCTAATTCATCTTGGAAAACGTTTGGAGTAACCAGAAATTATTGAGGTAGGAAGTGGACACAATCTACAAACGATGGAAGCGTAGTATATAATAATGATGTATAACAACAATCTAGCTGTAGTTTACGTAATGCATACAATCAACAAATGGGAAGATTGAACTTTTACGGGAGAGCTTTTCATGTTTCTCTAAAGTGCAGAATTATGTTACAACTGGTTTCTACAGATAGTCTATCAATCCATTTTGCAAAATATACCATAACGTTTAGCACATTGAAAGAGTGAGCAGCCATTTGGAGAGGACAGTTAAGGTTGTTCCAGAAATATGGATTGTACTCCTAGAATAAGAAAATAGAAATTCCTAAGTAATCAAACATTGTAAATTGTGACATTACTTATTTATTCAGCATATGAAATTTAATCTGCAGATCAAAACGAAAGTAAGATTACCTTGTGGTAGCTTTTTAGATGGTTTAATCTGACTTATTATTTGTAAAACACAAAATTTATTTTATTTATTATTGTTTATTTAATCACATAAACATTGGTACAAGGAGGCACCTAATAAATATGCGCCACATAAATCATTCGATCTCTATGAGGGCTGGGATACTGCCCGGGTGCCCAAACCAAAAACAGGTGGTTCTCTTAGGGGGCCACACTCGGAGCCTCTGACCTAACCGTCTGATCCACAAGGCGGTGGAGCAGCGTCAGGAGATGCAGTCCCATGGTAGCCGGTGACCAATGTTTGGTTCATACGCCATTTGCTCCTTCAGGATACCGGATCCCATATGCACTATTGATTTGGAATCAGGGTTTTCCAAATCGCCTAGGTGGACTCTCCGTGTCCACTAATCCGGTTAGAGCGCCGGACATTCGCTTTCCTTCTTCTCAATTTCGTAAACAACACCCCAGCCTCCATAAGCCAGTGATTAGGACTTCTCTGGTTGTGGTTGTATGTACGTGGCCATGTGAGAGCATTTCGGGAGGGAGAGCTGACTCTCCTCATTCTCGGCCGTACCAGGGCATTTGGGGGCAGAAAGAAATGAACCTCTGTTGCTAAGTCTTTAAAACATTTTCCTCTTGATTTTTGAATTTATTCCTGCAAACTTGTTTTTTCAATGTTAATTTTATCCGAAGTGACTTGTATTTTCTCAGATCATTGATCGATGCTCAAGTCATGGAGATAAAGTATTTTTCTCCAGTTGTTCTTTTCTTACTTGGTATGTCTTTTTCACTTTTTTTTGAATAAACTGATATGTATTATTGGTTAATCACTATATCATGTTTGTTTAGTCCTTTAGGTGCTGATCGAACTCTACTGGTCAAGTTGCAGTTTGGTTACTAGTCTAAGTGTCTCTACATCATGTGCACTGTGTCGATGTGTTGGGCTGTTGGAAGTAGTCAACATGAATCCCTGAACCTGGGCTTTGTGGTATCTCTCATCAACAATCTCACACCGTTGACCTCTTAAAGGACTAGACAAACATGACATTAGTCAGTGATCAATAATATATCAGTTGGCAGTATCTCAGTAATGCAGGTTATTCGTGACACGAATAGCTCAGTGGTAGCATCTCAGGCTGTGAAGCTGAGTGATGCGAATTCAAATTCTACACGAAATACCAGTTCTCTCAATACTACAGGAACCCCTCGCTGACGAGCGCTAACTAGCATGAAATTTGGGTTCAGGCTTTCTTGTCGACGACTTCCAACTAACTAATACTGAAGTAACGTTTTATTAATCATTAACTAATCATATACGTTTATTCATCATAATATACTGTTTACGTCCTCATTTATCATATTGTGGTGTTTTGTTTGCTTAATAACTCATCGACAATACTCAATGTCTTATTTCTAGACTTATGAAAGACGTTCTCGTGTTAGTTTACCTGAAGATCCATTTGCTAAAGCGCTGAATATTTCTCCTAATGATTGTCGTACACCATTTATTCCAGTTAAAGATTTTGTAAATGAAACACTCAATGATGGCCTACAGGTTTGTTTTAGTAGATATTTTTGTTACTAACATTATCGGTATATTTAATTTTAAATTAAAATTAATTTAATATTGTTTGTTAATGTTTAATCAGAGCTTATGAAAGACTGTAAACGTCAAATAGTATTCGTCAGGTTCGCCCACTGACTCCTTTTTTACTTAATTTCGTTATGGCTCTGGTTTTAGAAACAATTCATTAACTTTTTAGGACGTTCATCTATCGACTGAGTATGTGCAGATAAAAGTCCTTTTTTCTGAAGAAGACACTGACAAGATGCTGGGTCTTGTGATCGCAAGCATGTTTGGAATGAGTTTCTTTGCTTCTAAATCCATACTGTCGTCTCAGAACTAGTCTGCTTCAACACCTGAACTAGTGATGGGAAGCGAAATAGTTGAATGTGTTGGCAACGTCACTTATCTTGGAAGTCTGTTCATCCCTAGTGAGGTGTTTTGCGACAAAATCTTGGCACGGATTTGAAAAAGTCCTTTGAAATTACATTATTTTGTGGCTTAGGCGAGTTGTCCATCTGCCAATAAAAGGGCGCGTATACTGGCTGGAAACCTTATTTGCATTATTTTATAGCTGTGAAACATGGTGTATGAAAGTTAAAGGTATGTCGAGGGAGACTAAACCATGACATGGCATCAGTGCGTGAGGGTACTGACTGTTGATCTAAATATGTTGGTAGGTGCTGACTCCTGAGACCAATGGTTAGAGACTCTGGGTGACATAGCTTAGAATTGGTCACACTGGTCCCGATGCATTTATTTTTTATCTTCCTCTCTATTTTGAACTCCAATATTCATTTTTACGTACTTATCCACCCTCTTTTTCGAACCATAACCCCAATGTTTAAACTTCTCATTGCTACTATATTGTCCCTATCTTTTGCTATTTTCATCTCGTGCTAATTAAATGTGGCAACTTGACCCAACGCATATCTCTACCAGGCTTTCGGTAAATATGATATCTCTGCTTGTCAACGTGTTCAGTTGATTCAAAAAGCCAACGTATTGTTTGTTCTTTCTGTATGATCTACCCAATTAAAATAAGTCACAAGTCAATCCTAAATTACTTGGAACCTTGGAGAAAGATATTGATCTGGTGAGATCGGCAAATTTAAAGCAACGAACTGAGATTAAAATAATACGACAAAAAGCAAAGAGTGCAAAACAATCATGTTAATAGTAATGAAAACTAAACATATACAAAATGCAGTTGAAAGTGAATAAGTGAGAAGTGTAAAGTTGAAGGGTGTGGAATAACTTCAGAACTCAAAAGATTTTGACAAAGATAAAGAATACACATCTAGTTAACTATGATCGATATCAAGCCATATCAACCATGTTTTGAAGCCATAGATCGGGTTCAATGTGACAACTATATCCAGAAAAGCTTCACGTTTCAATTTTCTTCAGTTCAACAATTAATGTCTTCTCAATATGTCCTTGTACTTGCCGTCTCATTATGTTGAGACATGCATATATGTAGCATTATGTCTTAATTATAACAGTTGATAAGATAGGGTTTATGAGTTCATTAACTTGTATACAAAGTTTAATGCACTAAATCTCAGAATTTTTCATTGATCGTATTCAACTAGTCATTCAATGATCCCTATCAACATGGTCAATAGAATAGTATCTGTAAAATACATAATTTGTGTAGCCACACTGATTCTGTCTGTATTTATATATGATAAAGTTATGTTTTAAGAGACTGTTTAACTATAACCTACCTTCGCATCATATATTAATAGTTGTTAATTGTGATTAATAATTAGTTTTATCATTCTGTTTTTTCTTTTTTAATTAGCCAAAAAAAGATTATATTTATTATCGTTCAAAAGGTATATCAAATGAGTTAAGCTTTATGAAATTACCATTTCTGTTACAAACTAGTTCGAAATCTGTTCTATTGTATTATGATAATCGTATGCGTATGCTAGATGAACGTCGAGGTGTTCTGATGCATACTTTTCTCATGGATACACCTGAAATGCCTTTCTTTAAACTGCGTGTTCATCGGGATAGAATCGTTGAAGATGCTTTGTTAATTGTAAGTTATAATTTGTACTTGTTACGTCATTATTAATTACTATCAATTACATACAATTCGTGTTCGTATGTTGATATGTTTATACATTTCACTGTTCACTTAAGGTATTCTTTTTTATACCTTTAACAATTGAGTTTATACAAATTTTAATACCTCCCGATTCATTTCTTATTATAAGCTGACTTCAGTGAATCAATCCTTTATACTGAAAAATAGTAAATTCTTGTTCTGTTTTTTTAGTCCAATCTCCTCAAGTAGTTTTAAGTCATAAAAACCAGTGGAGCATCGTGAGGAGATGCAGTCCCATTGAAGCCGGTGACCAACAATTGGTTCTACGCCATTTGTTCTCGCAGGATCCTGGAGCCCATGTGCACCATTGGTTTGGAATCCGGTTAAAGCGCCGGACATTCGCTTTTCGTCCTCTCATTTTCGTAAACAACACCCCCGCCACGAGAATACAGTGAGTAGGACTTCCCTGGCAGAGGCTATATACGCGTGGCCATGTGAGAGCATTTGGAGAGGGAGAGCGGACTCTCCTCACTCTCGGACGCACCAGGGCATTTGGGGGATATAATCAAAATAATATGCAGCTCCGTTCTGTCACACTTGATGGATAGCGGCCATTTAGTAGACAGAAATAAATCATGTTTATAATTTATCGTAAACCTACTTTTCCTTATAGAGTTCGATCATGTCCCTCACACTTGGCAGAAGCTATATGGATTCGAGCTAACAATCCAAGTCTTTGTATTCAGAAGAAATTTGGAAAACTTTTATCACTTTCTTTACCTAATTGGCCTTAATAAACGTTTTTAATTATTATTTTCTACACACTTTGTTTATTTACTTTCCTTTTTCAAATGTATGTTTCATTCGTCGTCCAATCATCTGAATACATATTAAGTAGTTTTGCAAATTTTAATATAAGTTATTTCAGCGTCTATTTTTCTAATTCATTGACCCACTTCCTTTTATGAAAAATTAATTCAAGGCTGTACTATTCTCATCACAACTAGTACACCTATCATCACATAATCAATTTGTACATTTTACTTTTCATGTTCGTTTATGTTGTCTAATCTACTGTTATCACTGACCTCACAATCTGCCTTGATTGGTTTAATAATTTCATATATACACATAAATATTACTGTTTATTAAAGCAAAGCCTGACCAGGATCTGATTGGGAACAATATATATATATATATATATATATATATATATATATATATATATATATATGGCGAAACTATAATTTATGGATAAACCAATCAGATATAATATAAAAGGTCTTGGACTTTGGTGCGAAATTCATTCATCCTTTTTACTAAATAGCGTTTTGGCATTTTAGCTGATAACAGTTCATGATGAAAACTCTAAATCTAGTTCCTAGCTCTAACTATCAACTGTAAATTATAATTCTAGTTCTCCACATTGGTTTATATCTGTCATTTGGTCTTAGTAGGTAGGCCCTCTCAAGGTCATTTTAGAGTCGCTCAAAGGTCATCCATAACTTATGGTCTCACCAATTTCTACAGTTAATTTGGATTTTTTAGGATTAACTCTTGTTTTATTATATTTTTATTTGTACTGAAGTTGGAAATTGCTTGTATGGAAAATCCGGGTGATTTTAAAAAACAACTTCTCATCGAATTTGATGGTGAACAAGGAATCGATGAAGGTGGACTTAGTAAAGAATTTTTTCAGCTGATCATTGAACGTATTTTTAATCCAGACTATGGCAAGTTGATTTATTTTCATTTCTACTAAAAAAAATGTTTTAAACCTTTAATTTTTATCAGAAAAATTTCAACATTTCATCAAAGTAAACGTTTTGATTAATTGAAACAACATAAAGAACTTGATGCCCTATGAAGAGTATATCCAAATTAGTTGTTACAATTCTTATCAGTTCAGTAGGAAGCAAGTGGATATTCAATAAAGCGAGAGTTTAAATAACTGCTATAATTAAATTTATTAGTATTTACAACATGAAATGAACGGTCCTTCGATCTTTTAAAAAAAAATTTCGTATGCTTCATGTCGTTGGATAGCTGGAACCATTCGATACAAAACGTTTGACCTTGTTATGTTTTTTTTTATGACCGCTACTCACCCAAAGATTCAAACTGGCATCATCCATAAGTCCCAGTCAATGTCAGTATAACTTATTTGTTCAGTATGGAACTGACTTTTCGTTAGTTAATTAACGTTGTTTTGATGGATTCTTTGTGTTGAGTCACTTATTTCAATGATTATACGTATGTTATAAAGAACAGTAACTGAATATTATAACATTATTTCTTTTGCAGTGGGCAGGTGATGGTATTCTAATAAATTGGTAGACAGCACTAATATTAGACTGAGTCAGTGGTATAGTGTTTATCTTACTTCAATATAGATGAAAAGTACATCAAATAAAGTGATTGGAACAGTGAAAAAAACAAATGATAAGTGATGAAATTTCGAAAGGGTGATCGAGCCAGCGACAGGTTGAGAAAATCAAGAGTCCAGTCCAGTCAAACATAATTTATCCTCATTTTAATAGATCAGCCACTTTACATAAATGCTGTTTTTGTTCAAGGATTTAACCAATGATAGGTAACTTGGTTGACAAAAAGTTGATCAACACTAAAGGATTAGACAACTATGATAGAAGTAACTATCTCAGTCATATAGCAGGTGAGTCTATGCCCGAATAGCTCACTGGTAGCGTCTAAGATTGTGAGGCTATAGGTGACGTAGGTCCTAACTGTACAGGAATCATCCATTCTCTTAAGGTTTCAGGAACTCCTTGCAAACAAGTGCTAACTAGCATAAAACCTTAGCTTCCAAGGTTTCCTGTCGACTGTTACCTAACATTTGTTGTAAATTTCTCTTACTACATATAATATAATTGAGCTGACGACAATTAATAATAATAATAATAATAATAATAATAATAATAATAATAATAATCGTAGTACGTTTTCCCGTTTTATTCTCTCCATTAAGGTATGTTTGTTTTGGATGAAGAAACTCAAAATTATTGGTTTAATCCAGTTCCTCTGGACGATATGGAACGTGAATATTGTTTAATTGGGACATTATTGGGTTTAGCAATTTATAATGATGTTATATTGGATATTAATTTCCCGTCAGTGTTGTATCGAAAATTAGTTGGAAAATTGGGTACATTTGAAGATCTATTTGATGCTCGACCTGTAAGGATTTTCCACATTATATATCTAAGTAATATAAATTGGCCTATTTATAAATTCAGACTGATGATATATTAGTGTTGAAAATAATATTCTTCATTGAATTCTCTAGGACTTCATTTTATTGATTTCCGTCATCAGGCTTACTCAATACATCATTCTTAAGATTGGTGAATAACTCAACTCATTAGATGTGATGCTTCAAGTTAATTCACATTGCTTTCATTATACTTTGTACCACAGCCATGATAAAGTTAATTAATATTTCATATAGAACAATTTCTCTGTCTTACTAAAGCCGAAATTGATGACGATAGTCACCAATGTTTGGAGACTCTGGTTGACATGACTCAGAATCGATCACAATGGCGTAGGTGTGTACACTCTCTGTCTTCCCTCAAACTATGAGATTGAAATAGCTTTATATCCTTTCTACGAACCACTTCTTTCTTTCTGTACTATGTCCTTATATGTAAAGGTTCTAAGATTCGTACTAGCCACTTTGCAATTTTGTGGTAAGGAGAATTGTACATATCTAGAACTGGGCGTAGAGGAAGACCTGATTTATGTACTTTAGGCAAACCATACAGTCGTGATGTAAATGATCCAGTCGGCTTAATTGAATCGTGAATCTCGGTCGTAATTCAGTCAGTCAGTCAGTCAGCTACAACGTAGGACCAGGCACATATGTGCATCGGTCCAGGTTGCCATACCTCATTAGCACAGCAAGATGAACAGCGGATTCATAGGAGTGGTTAGGTCGAAGGTTGCAGTAAGGATATAGTATAGGAAGAAAGAATTAGTTCGTAATTATTCCCTTTTACTTTAGATCCTTAAGGAAATTGGCCAATTGTCGCTAAACATTGTTTCCATTTTTCCCATGTAATCATTTTTGTTCATGAGAACTATACCTCCTCCTTTATCTGGTTTGGTTATGGTCAGGGTTTCATCTTTTCTTAGTTTCGTTAAAGAGTCTCGGTACTGCTTGGTTAGTAGGTGATTTGTGGTACCCTTACTATTCTTGTATTGTTTGCAGCTATCAACTAATGTGGTTTTAAACCGAGCAAGATCCTCCAATGAGATAGGTATCAAGTCAGTTGTTTGTGAAAATAAATTCTCAAATTGTACATCCGTATCTAATTGGTTGATTCTATGCCTACTATCACAGAATTTAAGGATCTAAAGAAAAAGGGGATAATTACGACCGAAATTCACGATTCACTTAAGCCGACTGGATCATTTACACCACGACTGTATGGTTTGCCTAAAGTACATAAATCGGGTCTTCCTCTACGCCCAGTTCTAGATATGTACAATTCTCCTTACCACAATATATCCTTATATGCAATCTTTGTTTTATATATTACCATCACTGAACTAACTACTTCTATGAATTCGATGTTCATCTTATTGTGCTAATGAGGTATGGCAACTTGGACCGATGCATATATGTGCCTGATCCTACGGTGTAGCTGACTGACTGACTGACTGAAATTTCACTATCTAAATGAAAAAAAAGAAACCTACATATCTATTGGATCAATTGTTATCACACTATAATAGAGTTTTTCCAATATTCCTCTCACAAATATACTATTTATTTATTTCTTTTGAATAAGGACAATTGTTTTTAGCTTCATTGATTTTCTCGTCGATTTTTTCTCTATTTCTTTCTATTTGTGAAACTAAAGAAACCTCTTCACTAAAATTATTCCTTTTTTTCACTCCCGCCTCCCTAAATTTTTGTCATACATTTCTTCAAGATGATTAATTTCTATTTTTGTGTTGCTATATAAGGATTATCTTCCAAGATAACAATTTATATCTTCATTTAATGGGTGCTTATTGATCACAATTTCATAATAATTTTAATACTATTACTACTGGTACTAATGATAATATTAACATATTGTTCCGTTTGATTCTTTTCCTTCCCTTCTCTCTCTCCTACTCCTCTTTTTCTGATATTTCTTTCTCAGTAATTTGTTATTTGTATGTAATTCATTCAACAACACAATAATCTTTGTCATTTGTGTTCATTGTATCTTACCTGTTTTTCATAATCACTTACGTATATCGGTTCCATTTGTTTATCGTGCAATTTATACTTTACCAGATCACTAGCATATTTTTATAATACTACGTTTTTCAGATGATATGTATAGCATATTAGTACTTGTGTAATGCTCTCAAAGAACTTTCCGTTCGTCTTTTATTCAATATTTCCGTCCGAGTTTTTTTTGTTTTGAAGAAATATAATAGTATTCAGTACACAGAGGATCTAAGGTATTTTAGCTCAAATGCAGTTGGTGTAGTGGTGTAAACACAGTTCTCATATGTGTTGTTCCCAGTTTTGAACATCACAATTATTTTGTAGATTTCATTCATCCATTCTCAGAAATCTTACTTTTTAACTTTTCACTATCCTCGCTGTACTTTTTTGTTTTATTAACTTTTCTCTGTATTGGTTTTGAACTACAGCAAAGTGTTAAACAAAGCAAAGTTCTCACTTGATAGCTGCTCATTAATTCAAGTTTAGGTCCTCATGCGCGTGTAATTTTATTTATATATTCTTTTAGAATTAGATGTTTTACACTTGTGACTGAAGGTCAATTACACGAATCCGTATCTGGCATATATATATATATATATATATATATATATATATATATATATATATATATATGGTTATTTTCTGCTTTTTTTTTAGAGTTTAGCCCAAGGATTAAAAAGTTTGTTGGAATATGAATATGATGATATTGAAAGCGTATTCGGTTGTTCATTCGCTGTCAATTACCTTGATCCATTCGGTAATGTTATTACACATGAATTAAAACCGGATGGAGCTAAAATTCCGGTTACAAAAGAAAATCGTAAAGTAATTCTTGCTTTTTTTCATTTGTTTTTTTGTCTTTGACTTTGTATATATTTTTTCTTTCACTTAATTTAGTTAATTTGATGCTTATGTATTTTTTTGGCAAGTTAGTCGCATAGCAACTAAATTGGTCAAATAATTTTTTGTGCTTACACATTGTTTGTTGTCTTTTCAAACAGTACTAACATATGTTTAGGTTATTTTCAAGATGATACAATTATTCTTATCAAATATAACATAATGATCAAATCTATTGTAAATTAACTGAAGTAATTTATACTCTATACACTAAATTGTTGGATTAAACAAACTGAAGCAAAATGTTTTTCTTTTCAGCGATATTTTTCTGAAATTCTCCAAAGACATTTAACAGTATGATATTTACATGAATAAAAATTGTTACTCACAGTTTATTAGGAATAAAACTCATTTTTGAACTAAGATTCCGTTATTGGATAATAATCATTTAATGAAGGAGAGAGAGAGAGTGAAAGTTTTGATTTGGTAATGCGATTAAAACTTAAAAAAGTAAATAGATTAATCAATATCAACCATATAAGTTGAATGTTGTAACTATAATGAATGACTGAATGGGATGTAAATATAAGATGGAACTATGGGGATTGTGCAACTTGAGAAGTAAAAATACACAGTTCAGTTAAAAAATCTCTTCTCAACAAATTTATTATCAAACCATATATATATATATATATATATGGGATTTTAAGTATTAGTTCCATAAGGACATATGAATTATGAATAAACATGATGATTTAATAGAAAGGTTTTAATTTTGGATTATTTATTGTATATAATAACAATATAAGATTGTTTATATGCAAATAAATAAAATTAATAAGCTGACAATAAATTATAATCTAAATGCATTAAGATAATCAAAATACTTTTGTTACAATGAATGAAGGTATTAGAGATATTAAATGTAATGAAGTGATATCAGAAAGGATTATGAATAAAATAATGGGATAATAAAAAATAATTGGCGAGAAAACGGAATATTTTTATACATATAATCAAAGAAATGAAAATAAAATAAATGGATAAATGTTAATGATAATATAATAGTTCAAGGATACAGTAAAGACAACAAGTTGTTCTTCATTTCATGAATGCCAAGAGCTTCTAGGCTGTTTTCACTGAGTTGAATACCAAAATATCTTGTTAGATTTGAACGAATTCTATGATTAACCTGTGAATCATTTGTATGATCGGAATCGGTTAGATTTTCAGGGACCGAATTCTTTACCACTTTCGTCTTATTTTTTTAGAACCACACTGGAATATGTTTTCGTAACGGAGTTAAAAGCGAGCGCTAGCTACAGCTCATGTTCATCGCTTTACAAGAGCAGGTGAACTGATAGATGCATTCGAGAATGATACAATTAAAAATCTGACTAATTCAGTAAATTCAGGACACTTATAGCTTATTGCTATCATGTTGGTTGCGAAACTTGATATCCCTAATCACATCAACATTACATACCTTTTTAAGATTATTATCATTGAATCAATGTTCCTATGAGACTAAGTGTATCACTAATATCTATTTATCTATTTGGTTGATATCCAGCCAACTTTATTTAGTTTCTGTAAATTCTTCAAGAATGGTAATGGTATAACCTAGCTTCCAAATGGTTAGGCCATGTCGTTGAACATCAGTATCAACGTAACAATATTAGTTAGTAACTTTAAAAATTGCACCTAATTTAGATAATATTTAACTAAAATACTTATTACCCATGCTATCTTCTAGTTGACTATTTTAAATAAGGAAACATTTACAGTATGTTTAGAATCACACCTAACGTTTTCACTTACCACTGGTACTGTTAATACTTATACTAATTTCTCTTATGTCTTGATAATTTCATTTCGTTATGCTGTTGTGGTGTAGTAGTAACTTGAACCAATCTATATATGTGCCATTTTCTAGGTTATACATGATTGACTGACTCTGGATTACAAATTTATATTTCTAGCTTAGAGTATTTCATTGTCATGTTAGTTTTAATACACAATTAAAAAGTAATTAATTATCATTATGTTTATTATTATATGTAGTTTATAATTTGTTCATAATAAGTATTTTTATTTAAAAAAACCTCTTATTTTTTTGTGTTAAAATTAAAATTAAGGAATATGTAGATTTGTATTCAAGTTTCTTGTTGAATGATTCGGTTAAAAAACAATTCAATGCTTTTCGAAGAGGTTTTCAAATGGTTGTTGATGAAAGCCCATTAACATTTTTATTTCGTCCAGATGAATTAGAGCTACTTGTTCGTGGAAGCCCAGTAAGTATAATAATTTGTATGAAACATATAATGATGTATTTAAAATGTTCATGTTTCTATATATATATATATATATATATATATATATATATATATATATATATATAACAACTATTGAAATCCATTGATAATGTTGATTGTTATTAAGTCAATTCACAATAAATGCATTATCCATCTACACTTTCATTAGGGTTGATCAGTGAATATTGGTTCTTATCATATTTGTCTAGTCGTTTTTCAGTGCTGTTCAAAGTCTATAGATCAAGTTGTAGTGTGTGGTCACTAGTCTAAAGAAATTGAAATTACTGGTTTGAATCCTATAGGAAACATTTCTGTGAAGATTGTAGATACGCTTTGTTGAAGAGTCACAACTAATATGAAATCTCGTACCAGGAACTGTTGCTGACAAACCTTCATCTATCCAGCACCTTTGATTAGCTTTGGTTTTCAGAAATCTATTATTATCATTTTCTAATACTTATTTTTTATTAATTATCACTGAGATATAACAAGACAGTTTACATACTTCAATTTTGGTCCTTTTTAAAATTCTATTTTTTCATTTACATTTTTCTTCATTAAACAAATTATACAATTCATATATCATTTTAATAGGTATATGATTTTAATGAATTAGAAAGAGTCACTACATATGAAGAATATACATCTGATTCAACTGTAATTAAAAATTTCTGGTCTATAGTACATTCAATGACTAAAGAACAAAAAAAACAATTATTACAATTTTCTACTGGTTCTGATCGTGTACCAGTTGGTGGTATGTCAAAAATGAAATTTACTATAGCACGTCAAGGTTCTGATACTAATAGGTAAATTAATTTTGTTTACTAATTACTTTATAATTAATTTATTCTTTCTTTTTCCATTTGTAAATTCGAATTTTAGTAGTTAATTTTAAATATTTAGAATTTGAAACAATTAACAGGTTATTCAAATGTATGATTGAAATGGTTGACATAGCAATTATACTCGACCTAATATTAGCTGCTAACTTAACGTGGTAGTTAAACATATATGTCGCAGTGACTCAGTTGAATTATATTTGAAGTGGACGAAGACTTGGTTGAGATAACCAATTTATTGTTTAATGCAAAATTACAGAGTTCGTTCGTAAGTTGTGAAAAATAATTCATTTGCAAATCTTCCATCAGTTGTCCTTTATATCCTTTATAATTCTTCCAATTCTCAGTTGCTTTGTGTTTTCCTTTCTGTTTTCTTCAATTCAATCTTCTCCCTCTTCTTTTGACAGGCATATCACTTCTGATGGTGTTACATACTAATTATATCGACAGACATAAGTAACGTGCACCACATGATGTTACATACTAATTATATCGACAGACATAAGTAACGTGCACCACATATTAACTGGAACACTTATTCATTTAGGTAATAACATGCCACTTATGTGGGCTAAAAATTAACACATTCATAATCTGAAAGCGGATTAGTTCTGCCCACTGCACAGATTTTTGACGACATTATAGCATTTTCTGTAAACAATCTGTATCTTCAATTATTCTGTCTATTTACAACAGAAAGAGGGAATCAGATAAAGCAGACTGTAAAATTAATATTCCTCACATTACCTTACAAATTGCTATTGCTAGCGAGCGATAGGGCCTTATGAGTGTGGAGCCAAACCATGTAAAACTGTTCGTAAAAGAGTGATACATAAGCGCCTTTCAAGGAGTCGTTACTTGGACTTAGTTGTCTTGCTCCTTGATCGTCAAGATCAGTACTAACTCAGTTCCATTTTCAGGATCCTCAAGTAAAATCATGCTCTCATGGTGTTGGCCTCCCGGAAGTGATAACTGTTGTCGTGCCTTTTACAGCACTTGAGATCACCTTGTTTACAATCAAGTTCTTTTTTACTATCTAATAATTTTTTTCTATTTCTATTATCAACTTTAATCTTCTCTTTTCAACTGATTTTTCACATGGCAAATTCATTTTAGTATCCAGTTTCCTAATCATCGGACTAAATATATTATCAAAAATCCACGAAATACAACTTAAATGTTCGCCTTCTACTCTACCAGTTAACCTCTTTAGATGTAGGCATTTGTATTAATTACAAAGTGAAATTATTGTTTGTTAGTTTTAAAAAATTAAACAACACCTTAAATATGAGTGTTTTTGCGTATTATCACATTCATATCTGCTAAAACAAACTCTATGAGTTCCATGTATCACATAGTGAATAAAACCTAGAACACTATTATAAATATTTTAATTCAATAATATACCGTAACTTATCTAGTACAATCCATTGTATTCATGTATTTTGCCACTATTTCTTGCTAAGGTAAATCACATTAAACTATAAATATTTTCTGAATAAACATTGTCATAAATGTCTACATTTTATTGTCACAGATTCTTACTTTAAAGAAACCCACAATTTTTTTGCAAGTTCATTTCTCTTTAGTAATCTGTGTTTTATCATTCAGTTGAAACTGTCGAAGTACCTAATTAGAATGTGAAAATGATTATTAATCGTACAAGTGATTAGTAAGCAACTGAGAATCTCACAGGGATATCCCACCTGAATATTGTACTTCGTAATGGTGGTTAGAATCCCACATACACATTGTCCTTGTCGTCTAGGGCTTTCTCACAATTGCATCCCACCATTGATAATTAAATTTTTAGATCGAGGTTTTCGGTACAGAAACATTATTCTAGACGAATAGTATAGGTAGCACACAACTATTATGCATAGTGACATCATATTGTCATATGAATAAATTTTCTCCTGAAGATATCTCTCTTGAATTCATTCAGTAATGCATTTGTTTGCAACATGTTTTTTCTAAACAATTTTTTAAAATTGTAGTTATGTGTAGGCATTTTGTGTATGTGTACACTTTGTTTCCATTATTGTGATTTCTTTCATTTCAGATTACCGTCTGCTCATACTTGTTTCAACATTCTTTTATTACCGGAATATCAAAGTTTGGAAAAATTACAACAATCATTATTACTGGCGATAACACATTGTAAAGGATTTGGAATGTCATAAATCCATCTTGTCTTCTCCTTCTTTCTTCTTATCCTTTCCACAACTTTGTTTTATCATTGGTGGACTACTTTCTTCCTTCTTCTTTTTTCGATTTCCTATAGTTTATCTTTTTTGGTTACTTACGGAATTTCTCTTTCTCTCTTCCTCGAAAGGATACGGGAATTATTAATCAATTACTTGTGTGTTTTTGTAGCAAATTTTCTTGAAAATTCAGTCACTATTTTATCATATTTTTTTGATCATATGTGTACTGCCAACCTTGTTTGTTTATCATCAATGTTTAATAGTAGGTTCAACATATATAAACACCTACTTACTTATAAACAACATGATTTTTTTGCACATACTTACATATATATTGGCAGCAGACACCAATTATAATTTCATAAAATCTGCTCAAATTATTACATATACAGTGAAGTTTATCAGTATTTGTTATACCAAAAAATAAATGATAACTATACAAAGAAACAGAAGATCAACACAATGTTTTCACGTTTACGTAATGATCTACAGTCATATTTGTAACAATGTAAACGTACATATGATTTACGTATTCAGTTGATCAAATGAATTAGTCAGCTGATTAGACCATATGATAATAATAATAATAATAAATATGACACATCTCTTCGATGAATTTAGTTTAGCTTTTTTCTGTCCATTCATCTGTCAATGTATGAACCTGTTTGTTTATGTCAATACGTCTTTCGTTCTGAAATGTCCGGTATACGGTGGGAACACTTGAGGAGACGACTGAATAATTGTGTAACGATTCTCACTGTACATCGTTTTTCCACGAAGAAAACACAACTGCAACATTTAGCCATATGTTTCGATTTCTTTTTTAAAAAACGACAAAATTAAAACGTCAGTTTATCAGAACAACAAAATTTAGTTTCATCTTCTCTAAATTATGAACTTTAGTTTTTTTCCCGTTTTTTAGTGAACCTTATATTTGACGCCTTTTTGAAAAAATTTCTCATCTTTCAATGAACGACTTGGAATGTCTTTATAATCAATTTATTGTGTGGATTTTCGTCTTTTCCATGTGTCCTTTTTTCCTTTTTCTCTCTATTTCTCATCTTAAATGACTGATGTAACTATGAATATATTATTTATCGTTATGTGAATACTACTGCTATGATGATCGTTATCAGCAGTATATAATGAAGACACAATTACATATAATAAAAGTGAATTAGAATTGCAAAACAAAATAAACGTTGTTTACTATTTGTCCACGTTGTTTGTCTTTTTCATTCATTGATTTGCCTTTCAATCTCAACGAGTTTCTAGTTGTTTGATTGTACGCTTGTATTGTCCCTTTTTAGGTTCTATTGATATTTCTACACATATAAAGTCTTCTCTTTAGTATGTTTAGTCATTATAAACTGCATTTACTGTGTACGTTGAAATAGTTTAATGTCTGTTGAATGTATGATGTGTTATACCATCGTTAGGATTAGGATAATAATTCTTAATTGTGATGGCTTTTTAACATTTTTAAGTTTGTCGCGTTTTCTAGATCGAAGTGTCGTAATGAAATTATTGCTAAAAAGGTTGTTATTTAAGTTTGTTGATGATTTCTATGTAGCCACTTCCAACTAACATGAAACTCGACTATCTTACATGCTCACTGACGACTAGTTTACTACAGCAAACTTGTAAATGTTTTCTTTTTTCCAATTGTCAATATATGACTGGTAATATGTTGTATTTCTCAATAAATGACATCATTTGGTTTCATAAATTGTTGACAATCGAAAATCTAGAAAATTGCTCTTAACTATTCAACATGAAGACATAATATATTCATTAATATAGGTGATTTTATTGATCAAAATACACTAAGCTAAATCTATAATAGCACCAAGATATTATGGTTAAGTGAAGTGATTAGTTTAAAAATGGGTTCACAAATCGGCTATTGGTTATAAACCTGTTCAATCCTTAATATATTTCTTTAACTTTGGCTAGATTGATTCTTAACCGAATCATAGTTTTTGTTCAAGTTCAAATTTTACTTCTGCACACAAAATTCAATGAAATTACTCGAGTATTGGAGCGTTCTATGGATCTAATTTCAGACGCCAGTTTGAGTGATTATAGGTTTGAATAACAGCTCTACCAAATCTTCATCGGAGCAGCGGTTGTGTCATTTGACTTTGAATCAACAAGTTTAGGGTTTGAACCCCACTCCACCTACTTTGATGTGGACAGCCAGGTAATTTCACTAGCCCACACCGTTGAAGGACAGCATGAAGTTAAGACGTACTACAGATAACTTGATTAATGATTTATTTCTTGCTTCGTTTTACTAATAGATTACTTATATTTTATCCCGCTTAAAACTAAACTCAAATGATGAAACATGAAGAATATTTCCGAATGTGTTTTCCTTCTAAAACATTCAAACAGGTTTTCATCTATTATTCATTAATTAAGTAGTTTACACCAAATATTCCTTATTGAAGAGTCGATTGCAAGTGATTTTGTGTTTTATATACTTGTTAATGAGTACTCTAACAGATGTATAGTAACTGTAACTATTGATTTTGTCAATAATATACATATCATAGACTTCATAAATCAGTCTCATATAAACCTAATTAAAATAGTGACAATTATGAAGAGCCTTAAAATCCAAGTTTAAAAATGCTTAATATATCCTGGTTAATAATGAGATAGTGAATTAGATTGTGTTCTTGGTTGATAATTAAGATTATTTCTAGATTGTAATACTTCTTATTTACTCATTTCAATGTGCTTTAATAAAGAAATATACGTATTCTTTCCAGTCGAACTTAAAGGTGAATTTATTTCAAAAATGTTTCTTGGTATCAGTCAAGTCTATTATGACAGTCACATTTCGAAATTGGTAAATTTGCACTAAAGTGGTTTTTAAGACCATCCTAATTTACAACTTGTTTGAAAGTTTTAATAATAAGCACTATTAAGTTAGATTTTTTAAAATAATTATTATCATTGCATATCTGATCTCTGTCATTGTAATTCTATAGAGGAAAAGTGATCACATAATTGGTAGTACGTTATAGTTAACATCCAACTTCATTCAGAGGAACATGAAATAATATATAACATTCTGATTTGTGTAATCGTTTTCGATGAAGCTCAAGTTTTCGATAATTTTTATACTACCTTAAGGAAATCTTTAGACATAATGTCTGGTTTTGGATACTGTAAAAAACCATTTTCAACTTAATGGTAACATCGACTTTTTTCTTGAAAAGCTATATCGAAGCCAATCAGCAAAAATGTCGAAGCTATAAAAATGGATTTCTCACAGAACATTAGTTTAATGTACTTTGGAGACTTATGCTACCAGTGTATATCTTGTTTTAGCTAAGATATATGTAACAGAACGGTAATACTACATCAACTGGCATATCCAAGCTGTAATACGATAACCTGAATGGCTTTGTACTGATATTGCACGAATCGGTAATACATATGATTCCTACCCCCAGAATGGATTTTTAATGTTTATCAGAAATTACTCTATATCCATTTTCAAGCAAAGTAACAATGATAGAATGAATAAATAGACTTTGGTGATTGGTTAAACAACAAAATATTTTATCCAATTATATTGTTCTGACGACAGACCAGAATAAATCGAAATCTGAAGTAGGAAATATCATAAGAGTATAGAATAACAACGACCAGTCACACGAGGATATAACTTTTAGGCTTGCAGGGGAAATCCAATTATCACGTATGACAAACAGTAGATACCTTTATATACTGCTCAAATCGTCCAAAATAATAACGAAAAATTATTTTTTTACCATTGTAGTATAAAAAGATGATTGTCACAACTTTCCAAATGGTATATTATTATTTTGCATATTGTGTATAACGGAAAGGTCAACATTATCATTAAATCCTACCTGTAAATCTTTAATTCTGGGACGAATGATTACCTGATGGTTTTCTGTTTTATTGACGAACAAATCAGACAGTGGCCCTTGCGTTTTCGCGTAAAATTCATTCGCCTGTAAGGCTACTTCTCATTTTTTCATCATAGCTGATGTCACTTCGCGATCGAAACCGTAATCCTAAATCTGGGTACTTTTAAAAAATTATTTAGGTAACATCAAGATTTCTAGAAGAAGAACAATCCATACCTATAAGGATGTAGTGTCTAGTACCATGTCAAGCCCATATGTGTTATTTGGCTTCTGGACGGATCAATTTATTCATTCTTCTTTAGTCACATTTTGAACTTGTCAATCATTTGCTTATTAACCTTGTTTGTTTCTATGTGAGTGTATGTATATGCATTTCTTATCCTATCCATTACATATCTGTAGCCTATTTTAGTCTGACTATAAATATTGAGTTACACTTGGTCAGATGGAGTTGGCTCATTCGCCTTCTCCGCTTGACTTTCCGCTTCCTATTCTGAATTTCTCTCTGGATAAACGAGTACTTGAAATAAATTCCTCCAACTTAACTACTGTTTAACTTCTTTCTACCACCATCACACAAACGGGGTTATCCTGGGTAATATAAAGAGTTAAATGGAAGATTTATGTTAATAGCATCGTACATTCATCCAAATCGGTGTTAGATCAGCAGGCTACAAAAGTGTATTTTCTATTCTGTATTTACGGACATAGCAACCTGGGGAACGTGTTAATCGGTCCATTATTTATGCCAAATTTGTTTACATTTAGCGATGCTATTCTAATTGATTAAGAGCCGGCCTAAAATTTTACATGTTTTTTCCACGCTCATTCCCATACTATAAGCTTAGAGGACAATTTCTACCTCTCTGACCAATAATCTAGATTGTTGATTTCTACTTAACAGACTTTTTTTCATTATCAATTCAGTACTCAGTCACATTGTAGTGGACGCTGTTCACAGGATTGTTTGTAAGTAGTATGTAGCTGAATGTGACGTCGAAGTTATCACAGAAAGTTTTCAGTACATTGAGAACTCAGAGTAAGAAAACAACACTTGATATTTAGACGAGACGACAGTTTGGATTGCAGAACACTGCAAGATGCAAATGGATGATCGAAGACTATGTATGCACATCATGTAAACGCTTGTAATTTCTTACGATATACAATATTTTCACCCATTAACTTGTTTTATTGCATGAATGGCGTTATAATTCGTATGATAAATGTGATAGTTAATATATTATATCTGTAATAGGAAGCATTCTTTGATATGATAAGCCTTATATGGTAATGAGTAAGAAAACGTTTCTCATGTTTTGTAAATCATTATGAATAGGTGTTTGATTTATCAGTGAATTATTATTTTTAAATAGACGAGATTATATTATGTGATTGTCAGAATTTCAATCGGACGTTATTTCCAATTACTACTTAGATGACATAATCTTTTGGTCTACACCTACTATATATATTTTTATGTACGGTTTGTAAGTTTAATGTGTATTATAATTCACATTCTATCATATATCTAGTTTTACCCTTTTCAACTTATTGATTCATCTAATATGATTAATAACCATTTTGCTTCCTGAATAAGAATTAATAGCATCCATTACAATTTCATATTTATTACTATTATTGCATAATATTTGGTGTTGAATTTCAGTAATAATATATCTATGAAATTATTGGAAAGTCTTATTAGACAATATATATGAAATAACCTATCCAATTATTTATTTTAATTCACAACATACTTTCATTGTGATATAAAAAAAGCATAAATGTTATGATAACTACAATTGCTTTTTTGATTGAGATCATGAACCGATTGATGTTAGACCACCTTTGGAAACCTGGAAGTACTGGACGACCGTTTCGTCCTGTTATTGAACTCCTCAGCAGTGCGCACCCACGATCCCGCTCACGGGATTCGAACCCAGGGCCTTCGGTCTCGCGCGCGAACGTTTAACCTACTGGACCACTGAGCCGGCATCCAGTGGTGATAGTGTCTAACATCAACCAATCCACGAAATTGCACGACCAACTTCCGTCCAGTGCTTCCAGGTTTCCAAAGGTGGTCTAACATCAATCGGTTCATGCTCTCAATGAAAAACTTAATAATATCCACAACCCCTATACTGGTAATTGTTTTTTTCATATAATTACACTGCACTACATTTGAATATATTTTTGTATGTATTATTTGAAAATTATGATTATGACGATTCCCAAATAAGATTAAACATGTGTCGTGAATTCCACTGCTAATCACCATTCATCTTTACTTATAATGTTTGTGACTTAAGGCAATATTGATGCAATCCACACAGGATTCACATATGCCAATAAAAGACTGACCAATTGCAGTCCTAAATATCATTGGTAAGATTCAAACAAGCAACACGAAAATGAATTAGAACTCAAAAATTTTGTAGTTTAATGTAAAACATTTAAGTTCGCTAATTTGTTTTTTTAGTTAACCAGATAATTCCTTTAGCTTACACATAAAAAAAACGAGAACTACAATGGTTCTATATACTTGAATTTATGTTTTATCAATAAGTTATTGTATTGTGTTTCTTTTTCTGTTTAAAAATTACATCTAAAATTGATATTATCTTGTATTATTCTTTACATTGAATGCAGATTGCAATATTATGGATTTTAAACCCATAAATGATTTACCAGAATCAACATATTCACAATATGCTTGTTTTGATGTATTGCGTTTAGCTACAGTACGTGGAGCTGAATTAGCATCTTTTGAATCTAGTATCAATGTTTTAACTAGCACTGCACTTACTGGACTTCAACGATTGCCTGTTCGTTTACGAAGACGCGCTGCAAGTCATCGTATTAATAGATTACCTCGTCGTTTTCATAAACATCATCATCTTGCAAACCCTAATGAGAATGGTTCTAAGTCTGGGGTAAGAGGCTTTTCTTAACTTTTATCATGTTCTGTAACTACCATTTCTTTACTATCAAGTTTATGTTAAGATCATAGGATATTCTACTTTTGTTAATAAGTGTTAATTTTCTTCCCTTGTAATTGTGATCTCAAGTACAGTTTTTATGGTTCATATTTTTGCA